GGTTTTGACATTATTATTAATTGTTATAAATTAGGGAAAAATATAAGAGAGATTGATAGAGAATATATCAGTGTATTTCTATTCCATATGATGTGGTATATATATATATAAATCCTAGTTTTATCTAGAATATTCTGGAATGATATAAGGAGTATAATGGGCATCTACACAATAGTTCATAACACTCCCCCTTGGATGTCTATTATCGAAAATTGTGTCTCGTTAAAACCTTAATAGGAAAACCCTGTGGGATAAAAACCTAATGAAAGAAAAAGAGTACAACATTCTCGTAATACGCTCGAGATGCTGCCTCATTAAAAACCTTACCAGGAAAAACCCAATATGAGACAAAACCATGGTCAAGGGAAAAATAGTGCAACGCGTATTTTCTCCCCCTGATGAATACATAACTTGAGATCTTCTAGTGTCGCAGCAATGAGTCCAATATGTTGGATATCTTCTAATAAGTTAGTAAAATATCACTTGTTGATCTTTGATCCTCCTAAATTGAAATTGCATCTTCAAGTCTTCATGGGGTCATGTAAAGTGTCTTCATTCCACCATATACATGTTTATCTCTAATATCACCATTCCAAATCTCTATTTAATAGTTGATTAAAAAGGTTAAACTCATGCGGTTATCACTTCTTCTGGAAGTCGTTAATTATAAATATTAGTGATCATTATTTGATTTAACATTCATTAATAATAATTTGATGACAAAACTTGATATTATTAATGTCATTCTTCAATCTCATATAATTATAATATAACATATGTAATTATATAGGCTAATCATGGTTCTACTGGACCTGAGAAAACATTCTCGAGCATAAGTATTCCATTGATACTATTTAGATGTTTCATAATTGACATGATAGCTCTCTTGTAAATACAAATAGTAAATCTTACTAACTCTCATATGCTCAAACTTTAGGTTGAGATGTCAATAATGTAGTCACATAGACTTTTCAAGAGTTTGATAATAATTGCAATATTCAAGATATAAAAATTTGTAGGGTTGGGCATTTAATACGTCGTATATAAGTTATTCAGGAACTCCTTTTACATGATTCATAACATGTTATTATATAAGTGTCATCAATAATTTCATTACAATTATAAGTCCATTGGAATATAAATATCTCTTTCTAAATTTTCATCAAAGTTGTAAATATGTCTTACGATACTTTGAATGAACATTCATATACACCACAGCCATTGTAAGAAATTAATCCATACAATATGAGATATATAAAACATGATAACATATTAAACAAACTATACAATGAGTAATGCATCTAACTTCCTACATATGCAATAAACCATTAACCTATGACTCACATGCACATGGATATAAGACTCAAAATTATGCAAGAATCTGTACAGTGTGGATTCAAAAATCCATATTTCATTGGACTTCGGGTCCATGATAAACTTATGATCATTATCATTATATTGACATCAAAATGTACATATATTTCAGATCCCTTACTCATTAGTCCATTCCATTATGCATATGCATATTATTCATCGGTTCCATTATGTACTGGTATCATAAAATTCCTTTTACTTACATTCCGCATGCTATTTTACTATGATATCTGAATACATTTCTCATTGGTGCCATCATAACTTTTCTTACATCATAGGCCATCTATTGTAATAGTTAAAATATTTATACCACTTTTGGGGTATTTATATACTATTACACTATTAAAAGTGTTAACTGCATTATCTTGCCACTTTTTTACAATTTCATCACCAAGCAATATATGCAATATTCAGATATCTATACCACTTTTAGGGTATTTCATACACTATGGTATTTATATACTATTACACTATTAGTGTCAACTGCACTATCTTGCCAAATATCATATCTATTAGACATATATTTTATTTTTCCGGAACCAATCATACAACCTACACTTCAGGTGTAGTGATTTAAGTATAATTGACAAGATTTTATCTCAATGTATACACATAATTAATATGACCAAAATGTATCTTCAACGCTATGAAACATGACTCATAACTAAATACAAATCAAATCATAAATGTGCCACATATCTTGATAATATATATATATAAGTTGGCATATAAATTTTCAAACTACCATTATAGGGATCATATTTATTATTTATTTATTTTAATTAATTTTTCCAACTTTTGCTGATTCGTTCTTCTCCCCCTAAGTTGGTAAAATATCTCATTTATAGGGGCATCTTATTATATACCAACTTATTAGACAAATTTGCATTAATAAAATTCACTTCATTAGGAGGATCACAATCAAAAGTTATTTCTCAGAAGATTTGTATAAAACAAGTTTCATCTCTTCTGGAGAACAACTTCAATGAAGAATCATTTCTTCGTTAATTTTTACATTGCATGTGTATTTATTATATATTACCCTTTTCATAATATCTTCTGGAAAACAATGTCAATGGGGAGACATGTGTTGTGCAGTTGTACGTTTTTCATTCATTTTCAATTTCTTATGTGCTGACATAAAATAGCCTCAATCAAAACAATTGTTATACAAGCATAGATCACTTGCTTGTAATTCTACTAGGTGGTGATCTTCTGGATCTTTAAAGCCTTAAATAATGTATTTGGTGAGCTTCTGGTTCTCTGATAGTTTACAATAATATATACGTTATTTTGGTGAACTTCTAGTCACCCATTACTCCTTTTTATAACCTATTAACTCTTGAAATTTTCATCAATACAAATTAGTATGGATCACAATCCAAATATATATAGCTCAATCTCAATGTTATGTCTTGCCATTCAATTCATTTCATACATCTAACATTGAGAGAGCGTCAGCACAGTATCAAACGAAACTTCAGGGTTCCATAACAGGTAATTATTAAACCCGGATGGCCTAATTTAATTATCACATCCATTCACTTCTCTAAATTTGAACTCTATTTAAAAAATGAAATCTTGACTCTAAGGGGTGAAAACGATACTTGGGTTGAGGGGCAAAAGGAGGTAGAAGAGGTAATTTTGACTTCAATCAAAGATATCTACAGCCTAGTCACGAGTGATAATCATGGGGAAAATATTGATCTGCTTCTTCGGCAGTTGGCCCTTCCCTCCCTCTCGGAAGAGAATCAGCTTTGGTTGGATAGGGCTTTTACGGATGGGGAGATTAAAAAAGCTATGTTTGATATGCATTGCTCGAAATCTTCAGGCCCAGATGGTTTCACAGTGGATTTCTTTAAGGCTTATTGGGAAGAGGTGGGTAATCTAGTGGTTGAGAGTGTGAAGCAATTTCTGAGGTCAGGAAACATGTTGAAAGAATGGAACCAGTCCCTCCTTGTTTTGATTCCAAAGGTGAAGGTTCTAGAAATCGCCAGCCATTTCAGGCCAATTAGCTTATGCAACACAGTCTATAAATGCATTTCAAAATGCCTCATCAATAGGCTAAAGGTGGTTCTCCCTAGCCTTATCACGGAAAACCAGAGTGCCTTCATTCCAGGGAGATACATGGAGGACAACATTCTTTTGAGCCACGAGCTTATGAACCTCATAAATTCAAAGAAAGGCTCGAATTTCACAGCAGTTAAGATCGATATGTCAAAGGCATATGACAGGGTGGATTGGCTCTTTCTCTTAAAAGTCCTTCAAGCTTATGGCTTTTCTGAGCACTGGGTAAAGATGGTCTCACAGTGTATCTCAATGGTGAGTTTTAAATCAGTTATTAACAGGAAAACTTCTGATCATTTTGCTCCAAAGTGCGGCCTAAGGCAGGGGGATCCTCTATCTCCGTACCTCTTTATTTTTTGCATGGATATCCTCTCTAGAATGTTGTCTCTGGCTGAGGATATAAATCAATTTAAGGGCCTGAAAGTTTCCCGCAGGTCCCCCTTGATCTCTCATCTCTTCTTTGCAGATGATGTTATGCTCTTCTTCAAAGCAAACGAGGGAGCCTGTGATTGTATCAAAGACATCCTTAAGAGGTTTGGGGAAGCTTCTGGGCAACAACTAAATCTCCAGAAATCGTTTATAAAGCTCTCGCCAGGGGTCGCCAACGATAAGAGGTTAGCTATCAAAGTAAGTCTGGCCATGCCTGAAACTGAAAATATGGGAATCTATTTAGGTGCCCCAATTGATATACAGGGAAAGAGGATTTCACACTTCCAATTCTTAGTAGACAAAGTTTCAGAGAAAGTCGTCTCATGGACCTCTTTGCACCTCTCTCAGGCTGCAAAGCTAATTCTGATCAACACCGTCCTTATCAGTATGTCAGCTCATGTCATGAAGTGTTTGAAACTTCCTCAAAGCGTTGCAAACAAGATTGATTCTTTGATTACTCGTTTTTGGTGGTCTAATAATGGTAACAAAGGTTTACATTGGGTAAGTAAAAGTGTGATACAACTTCCAAAAAGCATGGGTGGTTTAGGGATTAGAGGCTCCTCCTCGCTGAATGATGCTCTCTTGTTCAAGCAAGCAACAAGAATGCACCATAACCCCCAACTTTTACTCTCCAGGGTTCATAAAGGGTTCCAGTTGTGTGGCATTTGCAACATGTCCAGACCTTTGGTTAGGAAAGGAAATCCTTTAATGGGAAGGTCGAGCCTTCAAAAAGTCACACAGGTTTTCAAAGATGGTTTTGCTTGGAAGGTTGGAAATGGAATTAATATCAAGGCTATCAGTATGCCTTGGGTTAAAGGGGAAACACCTTTAGTAAATTCCAGTCAAACCCTAAGGGCAGCCTTGGAATGGAGAGTGAAGGATTTATTAATGAGGAAACGGGCTCTTGGGAGGCAGGGAAGATTAGGAAGTGTTTTGAATGGAATAGTGCTAAGTCCATTCTATCAATGGAGCTCCCTCAATCAAGTGAGGGTGATTTCCTCTATTGGAAATATCACCCCTCGGGAAGGTACACGATTAAAACTGGCTACTACTATCTGACTAAAAATTTGGGGCTAAAAAATGAATCTTTCTTAGCTAGGGACCAGGAATTTATAAAAATAATTTGGAAGATGGCTATTCAACCCAAATGGAAGCTCTTCCTATGGAGACTTTTTCATGATAGTATTGCAGTTAAAGCTAATTTAGCTAGAAGGGGAATTCAAATTGATGAGATGTGTGATCTTTGTGGGTGGAATCAGAGGGCAGCCAACACCTGCTTAGATTCTGTCTTCTGGCAAAGGAAGTATGGGAGATTAGCTCCCTTACTATTTGCCATGACTCTCCTAAATCCAACTCTTTGAAAGGATGGATTCAGCACTATATCCTGCTCTTTTATAGCGAGGATGGGAAGCGTAGTCACCGTTGTGCTTTGTTTATTGCAACCTTATGGGGACTATGGAAGGTACGAAATGAAAGATGTTTCAAGGGTGCTAGAGGTACGACGGGGCTAGTGGTGGAACTTATTAATTTAGCAATAAAAGAACATGAGGTTTTTACAGAACAGGGGAACTCGACTAATGTAGTGGAAGCCATCAATGAGAATGATCCAATCATCCCTCCTGGGTTCAATTATATTCATCTAGGGAAAGAGAAGGTAGGTTTTGATGACTTCATAGTGGAAGTAGATGGGTCCTGGGATAAAAAATCTACAAGAGCAGGGATTGGTTGGGCGGTCAAGGCCAATGCCAAGGGCTACGATATGCAAGAAGGTGGGAGACATGGAGCAACCTCTTCAGCTCTTCATTCTGAAGCTCGGGCTTGTCTAGAAGCATTGAAATGGGCTAAAGCCAAAGGATATCAAGGGATCCTCATTTTATCTGACTCGATATCCCTTATGGATAACTTACAAGATGATCTAGGCAAGGATGTTCAGATAACCTGGGTATTAAAAGAGATAAGGGATATTGGGTTGACGTTCCGAAGATGTACAATATTAAAAGTTCGTAGGGATCAAGTTCAAAGGTCGGATGACGTTGCAAGGAAATGTCGGCTAACCCTGTCTGATTATATGTAGTCCTTTATGTTTTTCCTTTGCTCTTGTCAAAAAAAAAAATAAAAAAAATAAAATTGAACTCTGGTCAATTTTCTAACACTAATGATTACTTTATTAAACTTATTTTGAGCATGGCCATGAAATGTGATGTGATATTATAACACAAACATGTGTTTCTATATACAATTGGCAAGACAATCAATTAATATTTTATCCAATAATTACTCATTCTCTATTGGAGTTTAAACTTAAACTTGATACATGTTAATCTTGTTGGATATTTCATACTCTTCTGGAGTCTTTTATATAATCATGAAACATATGAACTTTACTAAAAGTGATTTCTTCTAGAAATGTAATGAGATTTACCACTTCCTCAAATTTGTCATTGTCAATAGTGACTCTTTTCCTTTTCAAAGATACTTAATTATCTTTAGAACCTATTGATTTATCACGCTTCAGGCATGCTATAGGTTCGTCAACAATTAATGTTATACTTTTAGGACATCAATTTTAAATTAGAGCATTTACAACTAGTATATGATAAATGTCATTTGTTTATATCCATATTCAGGATGGTATCATTTCAATATATTTAATTAACATATGGCCACTTCTATTAAATAAATCGTTGATATTTAAGTATCAAACTGACCATCAATATATTTTATTATTTATATGCAAGGATTACATACAATCTCCCCCTAATCCTTGCATATGGGGGTATGGAATGAAACAATCCAACAACCTTTAAAATCCTTGCAACTTTTAAGCCATAAATTCTTCTGACAATGTCATGTATCAAGTAACGTGTTCCTTTTAGCAAAAACATGCTTATATAAAATTATAATTATAGAACACTTATCATTTTCCTCATGCCCAATTACATTCATTTTAAAAAAAACGAAACCTCTTATATTTATGGGCATAATAAAACGTTGATTATGTATAGTTTCTCACAATGTCATATTGAAATTTATAAACTTAAAAACATTATTTCTTGGTCCAATAATTAATATGTAATTTTCTTTGCAATTCTAATTAAGTTTTTCAATGATTTGTAATTACGAAAACATAATGAAAATATGCTTCCTTTTAATCACATGAACTCTCATTCACTTATTGAGCGAGTAAATATAGTAATTTATGTATCTTCAATACACACTTAGAGTTCAATACCTAAAATACATTCAAAACCTTTTGTAAATTCTTTCTCATGGAATTGTGTCTATATATAGACACATTAGTGTCGCAGATGCTTTTTAGTAACATACTTTATTAGAAACTAATAGAATTTTCTAGGTCATATACGTATCTTTATATCATTTTTAGGGTTTTTTAAACCTTTATAAATTTGAGGAACTTCAGGTCCATATATGTGTAAGTATTTCATGTTCAATTTATTCATTATTCTTATAATCCAATTCGACTTCATGTATATAGGTATATAAACAAAATCAATCATACGCAAATTAACATTTCCAAGTTTTAAGACATAAGGAGTACGCATTTACAAAGTATTAGTTTGCAAGTTAATAGTATATACACTTTAAGCCGCAATTCATAATTTTATATTATTCGATGCTTTAAGTTGCACAGTGATGCATATCGCCTTAACAAACTTTACCTAGTTCACTATAAAAAGTCACATATAAGTTTCAAACAATTAGGGGCGGTTTGTATATAATTGATAATTGTATTACCAACTCTTATAAACAATACTAGAAACAGGTCCATATATTTCACTTATAGTTTAGTAAGTCAGAAGTCACAAATTCAATTTCTGTAAGATTCTAATTCAATACATATTGATACATAGAAAAATATTAATTGTGAATCGACTGAATTAACAAACTATAATCACATGTACATAACTGAAAAGATTTAGTCAAGTTTTAGGAATTCCAAAAATTTGTGAGAAAAACATGAACTAATTAAGAATAACAATTGTATACCGCGAGTACAAAATACATAGATTTTATTATTATAACATGTAAATATTGCTTTATCTTAAAAAGATAGAAAGTAAATAAATATTTTTCTTAGAAAATATGTAAATATCTTTTATAATCATCTTTATGTTATGTAATTTTTCCTTATCAGATTGGGATCAGGAGATAAGTTTATCCTTTTGGATAAAAAGCATAGTTATGCAAAACAAAACAAAACATGGATTAACTCCCTTTAAAGGAAAGATAAGAAAATAGAATATCAAAGCGCATGAACACATACACTCAACGTCCAAGCAAAATAACTAAACAAGTATAATCAAAGTTAGGCCATGCAAGGAATTAATTAATTAACCAACCATTAAACAGGTTGTACTCCAATACTCCATGATCTAGAAGATCGAAAAACATATTTGCAACTTTGATTTAAATATATGCAAAATCTAGTACCTTATCATTATTCAATATATGCAAAATCATAGCAGGTGTGATTAATATAGGAGAAATAAATTAATATACGTTCCCTGATAGTGGTGCAAGTCCACAAAATTTAAGAACAATCCAAATCATCAGATCATAAATTCATGGTCATTATATTGACACAAATATATAAGTACTTCATAATATCTTCAACGGCAATTAGAGAAGTAATATTGTAGAATAATATTAACTTACCTCGGTTCAACAATATGATCAGATGTATTTAATAAAATTGAAGATTCTCGCCACTCATGGACTCCACATCCTCCCGGAACTTAGCATGAAAAAGCTAAAATCAATTTAATTATCCCAAAATTGTATTATATTTAGATTAATACCACAAAACAATAATAAGCCCGAGCGATTATTGTGACACGATTATTGCATAAATTGGAACATAAGTTTGAGCATCTGAAGGAATTATTTAAAGGTTCGTTTTTGGTGGCTAAGAGCTTGGTGCAGATAACGTGTTATAAAATAGGGAGAAATATAAGAGAGATTGATAGAGAATATATCAGTGTATTTCTATTCCATATAATGGGGTATATATATACAATATAATTAGGGTTTTGTTAGATAAATATATAAACCCTAGTTCTATCTAGAATATTCTGGAATGATACAAGGAGTATAATGGGCATCTGCACAATATTTCATAACATTAATATCATTTTTATTATTATTAGGCAAAATTGGCCTTAACAACACGAACTTTTAACAAGGTGCATGTAGTAGCATGAACTTTGACTAATAGCCGTAACATCACCAACTTCTTCGTTGGGTGCACAAAACATCATAAATGAAACCTGGGACCAGAAATTTTATCGAATACGTGAAATCTTTAATATTTTATTAACTTTTTGCAAATTTTGATATCATATTTAGTCCTCAAGGTTCAAATTGACCCAAAACCCTGTCTGAGACATTTTTATAGCACAAAAATTAATTTTTTTGTAATTTTTTTTTAATAAATTTGATCTCAAAATTGACTAAATTGACCTCTAAAACCTCGTTTGATAATATTTTTTTTCCGCATACAAATCGAGGCACGGAACCAAACGATTTTTGATGATAATAAAATGTTAGATACCATGTCTCAGTAAAATTTTTGGTATCGAGCTACATTTATGATATTTTGTGCACCTAATGAAGAAGTTTGTGTTGTTATAGCTACTAATCAAAGTTCATGCTGCTATTTGCACCTTGTTAAAAGTTCGTGGTGTTGAGGACAATTTCTCCTTATTATTATTATCATTATTATTATGTTATAAAATAAGGGGAATATTAGAGAGAGATCAGAGATGTAGATGGTAATTGTGTTGTCTATATTCATCCATTTTATGGGCCATCTATATATATATATACATGATGTGAGCAATGTAACCTATATGGACAATGAAGAGTCCATTCATGAATTTGTTACAATGTAAACTAATGACATATGGGGGTTACAAAGGATGTTACAAAGATACTTAAGATAGTCATTACAAGCTATAATGACCACCCACAATAAACATACTTTATAACATATTAATATTACTATTACTATTATTATTATTATTAGGAAATTTTGATTTTTAACACCACAAAAAAATCCAAAAATTGTTTTTAACACTAAAAAAAAAAAAAAAACTTTTATTTAAGCACCACAAAAAACCAAAAAATGGCTTTTACCACCACTTAACCGATTTATGGATGAAAACCGTTAGAGAGACCTACAATGCTACATGTCAGCATATAATTGGTCCAAAATAAAAAATAATAAAAACCCTAAAACTACCCCAGCCACCCAACCCTCACCGTCAGCCCTACCGCCGGCAACCAGCCGCCACTATCCTCTCACCTTGACTACCTCATTTCTAGCCCAAGCAACCGGAAAATTCGCTCCCTCTCTTTTCCCCGTCCCCAAAACCGGCAGCCCTCCCCAACGACCACCAAAAACAAGCCGTCGCTGCCGCCGTTTTCCATAACCCTTAAAAACAGCCATAACAAACGGCCGCTAGTGGTCGAAATTGGCTGTATTAGGGCCGAAATGATCGATTTCGACCTTAAACCGGTCGATTTCAACCATAAGTAGCGTTTGAGGCCGTTTAGGTTGCTTGAAAAACGAACAACCGTTTTTGGTGGCCGTCGGCAACTGACGATCAGATATGGGGAGTGGGAAAGGAAGGGCGACGCTTTTTCGGTAGCTAGGGTCGGAAATGAGAGGGTTATTAGGTTGAGGATGTGGTGGTTGTGCGCTGTCGGGGGTGGGTCTGTGGTGGTTGGGTTAGTTTTAGGGATTTTGTTTTTTTTTTTTGTCTAAACTAATAATATAGCAACACGTGGCACAATGGACCCCACTTCACAGAAATTTGGACGCCAACTGTTAAGTGGTGGTAGTATCCAAAATTTTAAAAATTTTGTGGTGTTAAAACAAAAGTTTTTTTTGTAGTGTTAAAAACCATTTTTTTTTGTTTTTTTGTGGTGTTAAAAATCAAATTTTCATTATTATTATTATTATTATTATTATTATTATATCTCAAAAACATACAAAGTGATACAAACTATAGAAAATTAAAAATTAGTGGGAAGTCGAGATATAATCTGGGC